TCTGTCTTTCCCACCAAACCGTAATTGTCCAGATTCCTTCCTGCCTCCAAAGCCTCCACCTGCATATTAAATGAAGACATATTAAACTTTTTCTCTCTCAATTTTTGGAACAGCACTGTGTGTATAGTCTCTGTTCGAACATTCACACTTCACACCTGAATGGCAGAAACAGCACTGTGCGTATAGTCTCTGTTCGAACATTCACACTTCACACCTGAATGGCAGGAACAGCACTGTGGTATAGTCTCTGTTCGAACATTCACACTTCACACCTGAATGGCAGGAACAGCACTGTGTGTATAGTCTCTGTTCGAACATTCACACTTCACACCTGAATGGCAGGAACAGCACTGTGGTATAGTCTCTGTTCGAACATTCACACTTCACACCTGAATGGCAGGAACAGCACTGTGTGTATAGTCTCTGTTCGAACATTCACACTTCTTCCATATACAACCTGAATGGCAGGAATGCTAGTCTTCAATGAATTTGAAAAATTGGTCAAGGCAAGTCAGAGGCACAGCTCTTGAACAAAATTTGTGATTTTAATTCAATCAGAAAAAAGAAATGATGTGCATCAAGGTTCCATAATGTCTGATCTTTGTAGTAGGTTTGAATGATGTCCGTCCAAACAAAACAGAGATCCAGTTCTGAAATTGCAGAAATGCATGATTGTCATAAATATTTAACATTAAAATGGTCGCCATTTCGTCGTCTTAAACAACATCACCAAACTAATTTATATATTAAGTTTGAACATAATTGGTCAGGGCATGTCAGAGATATAGATCCTGAACAGTTTTTTCATTAAACAAAATGGGCACCAGTAGAGCATTTTGAATTTGATATAAAAACAAAATTAAATGCATCATTATCCTGTAATGTCTGATGTACTAACCATGTTTGAATAAAAGCTGGTTTTCGAATGGCAGAAATACTTGTTTTTGAAAAAGGTCCACTATTTGGCCATCTTGAATGAATGGACGTGTATATGTATCCCCAGATGCATATGATGTACATTGTATGTGCAAAGTTTGAATATATTTGATCCAGGAATGTCCAAGATACAGGTGGAGATGGGCGCTTGGACGAATGCACAGAGGTCAGAATACAAGTCCTCATTTTTGAATTTGGCATGAATGCAGACCAATAAAAGCAGCTCAAACTAACTTACCCAATCTTCTTGGTATCCAACCTTTCAATTTTCGTTCACATTCTAAATCAACGAACAATTCACTCCCATCAACTATCAATTTATCGGCTTTTCGTTCTGCTCGCTCAGCAGACTTCTGGCTGCAGTACTCAACAAACGCATAACCCTTTGAGAAGCCAGTCACAATGTCTCGAACTAATTTTAATCGTTTTATCTCTCCATATCTAGAGAATGTCTGAAAAATAAAGAGGAACTTTACATTGAATTTTCATTTTGCCAACATTTATTGGTTATTATACAGTAAAAACAAAAGAATTCCCCATTCCTAACACAAAAAACACAAAGTTGCATTTTGTAAATAAAAATGTTGAAAGTTTGTGATTCAGTCACCTGATGTTTTTTTTCTATTGATTAAATTCACTGTGAATCAATATGCTTCAACTTTTTGTCATGTTTAAGCACCATAATTTTTACTGCAAAATGTTCATTTAACATTTTGAAATATTTTTCATACCTGTAATTTTTTTGTTAATTTGCATGAAATGAACATAATTACTCATTTGCTACAAGTCTTGATCTTGGAAAAAAAGTATTCTGGTTGAATGTGTGAAAAGTGAACAAGTTTATCTTTGCCTTCACAGGGTTAAGGTTCAGCATGGATAACATGCTTTCTGGACAGGTGTTTCCTGAAACTTTGCTAAATTTTTGAAAATAAAAATTTTGTTCCAGAGCTATATCTCTGACTTGCCTTGACCAATCATGTTAAAACTTAATGTCATACATATCCAAGATGCCTAAATAGGTTATGAATTATGAACCTCAGTTGTTTTCCAATCCAAAATGGCCACCAAAGTGGAAACAAGTTTGGGTACCCTCGATTTTCTTCTACCTCAAATAGTTAGGACAGTTGGTTGTTACTTTAATAAATACATTTCTATTTTGTGTATACCAACCTTCTCAATTGTTTCTTCTGTGGTGTTTAAATTCAATCTAGCAACAAACACAGTCTTCTCGGCATCCCCAGTTATAGCCTTGTTCGGTTTATATTTAGCCTGAAAGAACAAATCCAAAAAACTTGTTGTTAAACAAATTAGAGAATGTGAATAGAATATTAGCGTGGGTTAAGAGGTCGAATACCTTAGCAGTGATCTGATCTGTTTTTAAGACGTGGTCCAAATCCTTAGCAGTGATCTGATCTGTTTTTAAGACGTGGTCCAAATCCTTAGCAGTGATCTGATCTGTTTTTAAGACGTGGTCCAAATCCTTACCATGGGTTAATGTAGTGTGCATGAATGCTTAACTTGAAATAAGTGCATTTGTATTCAATGTTCATTTCGAAGATTACTATTATATTCATTTTGATATGAATTTGTGACATGAAATGAGAGATATTGTTTTTGTGGAAAAAATGAACAATGAGCTAGTTCCTATTATTCTGCAATTTGCAATTTCTAAATTTGTTTTGGTATTGTTTTATAATCGTAGAACTAACATGTATACCTTCCTAGTTACTGGACTGAGTAATCATAATTAAAATGACCGAAGATTTCAATATTATTAACAAGTTAGGGTGTTCCTTAGCCTGTGCTAGCCACCATTTCCACTCATACATGAATGCAATTGGGTGTAGTCTGAACCACAGTCTCTCAACAACTGACACCTCAACTCGGCTATATTCTAACTCGATTGGTGGTAGAACTTGGCCAGCGGTCGACCTAGGCCAGGTTATGTGTTAATAGGTTTGTGCATGGTTGTTGATGGGCTGCGAGTGTTGTCAATTTCAGTGACTTGGCAAGCGCTTTGTCATTTTATAACAAAGTACAGACTGCCCTAGTCATCTCATGGTAAAAAATAAAATATGCATGTGTTGTTGATCTCAGTGATGCAGTGACTAGCCTTGTGTCATTTTCTAACAAAGTACAGAGTATACGTATTATATGATTTCTAACAAAGTACAGACTGTTCAAGTCATATCGTGGTAAACTATATTTTATTTTATACCATAACGTACCAAAAATGAAATACCACCACGTATAAAGACAAGAAACAGATATGAAAAAAGGTAATAATTGTTGATCATTGACTGCTTCACTCTTCGGCAATTACTACTGGCGAGTACGGCTATTTCTTTTCCGGCCATGTTAGAATCTGGCCGAGCTCAACTGTATTCCCTTAACAAGAACAGTGGTTTAGGCTACACTCTAACATGGGCTCATATTAAATTTAATCCAATATTATCGACTAGACTCAGTTACATTCAAGCTTAGATTTCTCAGAACAGTACCAAGGGAGGTATACATTTTAGCTCTATAAGTATGATAATGAAAATACAGAAAAGGGCAAATTCAGGTGAACACTTTAAAATTAAAATAGAACTTATTGTTTCACTGTAGTGTGTAAGGTCATGTATGTATGAGGGTCTAAAAACTAACTCTGCGACGCGATTGTGCGACTCGCCGAATGTCGATTATTGCACTCTGCGACAGGATCGCAGTGTCACTCTGCGAAGAGCACGATTCCTATTGGTTGGTGGGTCGAACAGCGCAAATCCCAATGGTCAATGTTCACCGCATGCCTTATAAAAAATTAAGTTTTAAATGGTAAAAATGGTACGGTAAAAAAAGTGTGTAAACACTATGTACCAGCGACATGCCGCACTGTTCGGTGATCGGCAAGCACATAGAAGACAAATTGTGGACCAAACAAATGACACATGGTTTACAGTGATTAGACACATCACAGCGCTGGCTAGAGTAAATTAAATAGTGTAACGTGCACGTTGGTTTTGACTGCCTATTTACGGTGTAACGTTATCGCCATCTTGGAGTTGTTAGGCTTCAACCCGACGACTATGCTCATTAGCATAAGCGACAGCTTCAAAGTGAGTGGAACGCGAAGTACTTTTCATGCGTTCTGCAACGAATGTTGTACGTCTCCTTTAACTTTGTTGAGTGCATCAAGGAAAATAATTTGCATGCAGCGAAAAAAAATCATTCATGATGTGCAGCGAAAAAATATCATTCACAATGTGCAGCGAAAAAAAATCATTCACGATGTGCAACGTTTTGCCATGACAGCAGTTGTTTGCAATCGTCTGCCTTCATTTATATCATAAACGGACTCCAAATTTGTGGTCTACGATTAATTAGCTGGTATTTTAACCAACAGAAATGAAATACTTTGTAACAGTTATGAAAAGTAAACAAAAACGGCGTTGGTTTGTGGTATAAATGGAATTATTTTTGTATCATAATTTTCGAAGTCAGTATTACTGAAAATTATGGTTTATTTTTTTAAATGAACGCCAAATTTCGGTGGTCCATATTGACCTTAATGTAGCGGGAAGGGAAATTTTCTTTTTTTTCTCTTGATTTTTCAATAATTGATAAAACCGTTACTTTGTACCTTGAAATTTCGGAAAGACCAGTGCTCAAACGCTAACACTACTACCGTTTCGTTAATATTTGCATAATGTTTATAACATGTATATGTATACTACTGGTAATATTCTGTTGTTGACGATTCTGATAGGACGGGTGACAAGCTTCCTGTCGCAAACAACTTGAATGCATATTAATCTAACGTCCATTGTCAGCATTATTATCAGTCAAGACATCGTCTGAGAAATCGTTTTATTTTCTAAGTCTATATTCTATTTTAATAACACCATCTTACTAACGCAATGACGATGAAAAGAAAGAAAGCAAAGACGCCAATGACAGACGAGGCAAAGATAAATCTGCAACTTGGGGGTCATATTTACTAATTTAGACTTGCCTGCAGCCTGTTGTGATTCCGATGAAAAATTACAGGACTTTTGCGTTCACCCCTCGTTTATGCAATTTATATTTATTTTTCAAAAATATTTCATTGAAATCGCAACAGATGAGATTGCAAGCACGTCTAGGTCATATTATGACCAACCTCGCGAGTGGTTCGAAAGGGACGATTAGGCTGGAATATTCGCATCAACGATACATGAGACCGTTGAGGGCCGGTGATCAGACGAGGAAGGGAGTACAGGAAATCTGTTGCTCGTCGACATCGGCCAAATAAACAAAGCCATCGTTTCCGTTTATGCAGAGAGCGTGCACCCATTCGTTGACACTGCCGTTTTAGTTTTCTATCTTCTGCAGTAGTTTCAATCCATTCACACAGCTTTACGTTTTTTCTCTCTTAATATTCTTAATAAAACGATATTGATTGCCTAGAAAAAGTTTGACCCACTACACGCTATATTTGGGAATTCAAAGTGATGAATATAGTCATAACAAATTATGCAAATGACAAAAAAGAACGTAACATCGTGTGAAACGTACTTCGCGCTCTACTCGCTTTAAAGCTGTCGCCTATGCTAATGAGCATAGTTGCGGACAAAGCCTTACAACTTCAAGATGGCGTTAATGTTACCAGCTCCCTGATGTTACACGGCAATAAGGCAGCCAACACCAACGTGCATGCGTTTTGTAGCCCCTTTCACTCTCTCCGGGGGATGTTATATATGTTAATAAATCAATGCTGATTACCGATCGTGCGGCATGTCGTCGGTAAATACTTGTTTACCGTAGTTCGCGAGCAGTCTGCGAAATAACCATATAAAACTAAACATTTCTATAAGGCATGCTGTGTACCCTTACATCGATCGACCATTGAGAATTGTGCTTTTTGACCAACCAACCAATGGGAATCGTGCTCTTCGCAGAGTGACACTGCGATCCTGTCGCAGAGTGCAATACTCGACATTCGGCGAGTCGCACAATCGCGTCGCAGTTAGTTTTTAGACCCCCATACATACCTCGTAAGGTCGATGAATTCACAACCAGTGAACGTAATCAAAATATTTAGTGCACTTAACACTTACTTAGTTATACATTCGTTGCGCATTTAATATATTAACAATAGATATAAACACATATCGAATATAATTTATACCAGGGCCGTAACGACCAACCTGTTTTGGGGTCGTAACTTCTAGAGATTTCTAGACGATCTGGCCCTGGTTTGTTGCGGCCCTGGTAAAAAAAAGACGTTCCAGCCCTGGTTTGGACGTTCCGGCCCCAAAACAGTTTGGTCGATCCGGCCCTGATATAAATTATATTCGATACGTGTTCATATCTAATGTTAATATATTGAATGCACAACGAATGCTTGACTATCTTGTTTAACAACTTATTTTTGATGGTTTCACACCGTGTTTGACAGATGTATGGTTATTTATTCGCCGCCTATGCACGTGAACGGCAGACATTAGAATACACATCTAATACAATCTGTTTTAGTCAGGGTTCGAATGCACATTCGTGGTTTGTCGCGTAATGAACGTCAATATATTAAATGTGTGACTAGCTTATCCACAATTTTTTTTTCATCTTTTGTAGGAC